GGGGGGGGGCTAAAAGTGCCCGCGCCGACTTTGATGAAGAATGAAGAAGACCTTTATTGTACATTTGTGTTCTACAGAACTAAGTACAGGTCGCATGGGTACAGAACATGAACATAAACATATACATTACAAATATATGAACATAATTATAAGAGTGTAAATAAATGTCTAATTTCTATTCTTTTCGGCTTCATCTGGCTTGGTAGTGATTGTATGGATATATGCGGCTGTGAGATTACTTAGAGTAGGTTTATCAAAAGTTAAAAGGTATACAAATTTCTCTTTACTAGTCAAATAACTAAAGTGGGGAAATATACTTAATACATGGCTAAAAAATATGAATCTATCTCTACTATACAAGGGGCAATCTATGGTGAAATGTATTTCATCTTCTATTCGGCCTAAACTGCAGAATTGACAGGTTCTTTGTTCTAGAGGAGTGCGGTTATGTCTTCCTGATTCGATTCGTAATTTGTGACAACTGATTCTTAGTTTTGTAATGGAGGACCTGTGACGTATGTTCGCTAAGTTGAGATATTTTTCTTCGTTATAGGAAAGCTTTAATAATCTGTATAGACGTAGTTTGTTCTTTGCATTCACAGCTTTGCTATCGTTGTGAATTTCGGATAGGAATGTTTGAAAATAAATGTCTTTTAATCGTTGGAAAATTGATGAAATGGTAGGGGACGTGTTCGAAAAAATTGATTGGGGATTTTGCCAGACGAAAGCATAACCACATTCCTCTAGAGCTCTACGTACGCCAGACGCCCAGCATTTAGTACCTGAAGCTTCTAGGTCTATTTGACATAGGGGGGCGTCTGCTTGAAGGGAGTCAGCTGGTACGTTCTTGTGGAGTCGAATAAAATACTTGATAGCGTTCAGGGAGGCCTCCAAGTGAATGGGGTACCTCCCTAGTTCTGCCCGTGCTGCAAAATTACTAGCTGTTTTTGGTATATTCAGTGAATGTTTGCAAAATTTTAGATGTACAGATTCAATTGGACAAAATTTTTGGCTTTTATAAGAACCCCATATTTCAGACCCGTACAGTAGGATAGGTTTAATACAGGAGTCAAAGAGCTTGTTCTTAATGGATAATGAGGCGTCGGCTTTGCTAAGGGATTGTCTGATGCTGAACAGGGATTTTAGACCCTTGTTGCTTAGATGTTTGTTGTTGGCTTTGAACGTACCAGCTGCACTTACCACTATACCTAGATAACAATATGATGTTACAATTTCTATTACGTTATTATTAAACAAAAAGTAACAATTCTTAGGTAGTCTACCTCCCTTAGTAAAGGTAATTATCTTTGTCTTTTTTAAATTTACCTTCAGATTCCAATATTTACAATATTTCTCTAATTTATCTAAACATGACTGTAAGCCTTGCTGAGATTCGGAGAATAACACAAGGTCGTCCGCATACAAAAGACAGGGAACTTTCTTATTGTAAAGAATAGGAGAGTCACAACAAGGATCATTAAACTCGGCTATGATGTCACTGATAAATAAATTAAACAGAGTTGGACTTAGATTACAGCCTTGTCGAACCCCACAGTTAGTTACAAACGCGTCTGTAAGGCCGCCGTTGGTTTTAATGCAGTTTTTAGTTTTTGAATACATGTTTTTGATGGTCATTAAGAATTTTCCTCCAATACCATGGTTATTTAATTTGAATAACAAACCTTCCCGCCAAACGGAATCAAAAGCTTTGCTGAAATCTACAAAACATGAGTAAATTCGGTCGTTCTTGCTTAGGTATTTGCTGACTAAAGTGGTTAATACAAATAAGTTATCGGATGTTCTATAGTTTTTTCTGAAACCGGCCTGTTGAGGTTTGAAAAGGCTGTTCTGTTCCGCATAGTTAACGTCACCTAGCGTCTGAACGGCTAGCCGTAGAACGGCCAAACTTGGTGACTTTTCCTATAATATTGTTGGCAACAATTCTCTATCATTGGAATTAGATAATAATTTTTTGTGTTGCCATGGCAACGGGTTTCTTGCAGGCATTTTTTGCTAAATTTAGTACTTTTTGTTTCAACAATAGAATTTTATGGGTTTTATGTCAAGTTACTTATGGTTTCTAATATTAATAACATCCCATATAATTTTATGTAAATTTTGTCATCAAATATGCATAATTTATGCTAATTTGATGAAGTCATTGGCCAAAATCCAAGATGGCGGACCATATCATTAGAACAGGTATATACAGGTTATTTTCATTAAAATTTCATCAATACTTCCATTTCTTTTTCCAAAAAGGGTTTAAATGAAGGTCTTTAGTATGTTTACAATGTATTTTAGGCTTTATCATGAAAAAAACTATTTTTGAAAATTCAAGATTGATGATCCAAGATGGCGGATATCTTAAATATGCATGACGTCATTTTATGATGTCACCGGTGTTGCTATGGGCAACATAAGACTTATTACACCCTGATATTCTGTCATAAACACTTTTGGTGCAGTTACGTTGAATACAATTTAGTTTTCAGGGAAAAACCTATTTAGACGGTTTTGGCCAATAAAATCACATTAATGACGTCATAATGACGTCATATTACGTCATACCGATATGAAAATTCTAGATATGATAAATTTTTACTAGTACACCATCCTCTGAAAATTTGGTGGTCATACGACATACCGTTCTCGAGTTCTGAGGGGGGGGGGTCAAAAGAGCCCCCCCCGGTCCCCCCATGCCAAAAAAAGCCCGGTCTAGGTAGGGTT